ACACAACAACGGTAAAGTAACATTCACATTCACATGATACTAAATGTGTACCAACTCAATATGATGACGAACAAGTTATTGATTTAATTTTGCCAGATTAATTCAAAATACCATGCAATGAACTCAGCTGACGAACGATAATGCGGATGAAAAACAGAAAGGACGAAAGAAATGTGAGTGAACATGTTTAAGCAAACTAATTTTGTACTGATTGGATCAATCACACTATCATACGATCCACGATGACGCGGTCGAATTCGGTGAACATGACGTTTTGACACTTACGCCCGTATCACTTTTTGTTATGTTCTACAGTACCTCTTTATACTTTTTTAAATACTTTTGGAGCCAGAAAGGATTACGCATAATACAATCTGCCAAAAACCTACAACGGCCGTTAACTACTGAACTACCGTGGCAATCATCCTGTTCTACCTAATAAGAGCTGTGAACGTAGTGCACTTCGCTAGGCCGGTGAACAATGCGACATACATGAACTACAGGAACAAGAATGGTAACGGGTATTACGACTATTCAGTACGGTAAATGTACCAAATGTTTCGTCAAATCATGCCTTGGCGGAGATGCAAAGAAAACTGAAGTCAAATAATAACATCACGAGACAAGCACTGTTCCAAATTGCTGAGAAATCCAAAATGCAATCAACACATGCCTCATCCTCCGTGTTATTTTTTGATTCACAAGCCCGTAAAAATTTCATTAAATTTGTTTGATGATAAGGATCACGTAAAGTAAGTGCGAAATACGAAATGTTTGTCTCCAATGTGACCAGCAGAAGTCGTCTACGTGAGCACGCACTTGTTCTACAACGTGCTAGTCTAAAGTAACATATGTAGATTTGCTGGATAGAGACGGTAAAATCGGCTAAGAGAAAGAAAGGTCTGATCTTCAAGGCAATACACCGAACTAAAAAATACCAGAGGCAAGTGAAAAACTGCGTAACGAGTAGGCAATGGAAAGAGAACATTCGAGTGAAGAAGAGACAAAAAGATAAGAAACCAGAGCACAAGGAAGGAATAGTCACGATTTATGCATGGTACCGGTGAAGAAGAAACCTTTAAGTGGGTTGCAACATTACAGGTAACTTCTTAGAACCAGTATCTAAGGTGGAATTACGACGGTTATCTGATAATTTTGGTAGTTAGACGACTCTAATATCTCGGATAATCTACATTTGGATCTATTGAAAGCAAGGGTAATGGTGAATTCCATTTTAAATAAAACTATAGGTGTCTCCATTTGTCAATCATTACGAGATGACCAAACTGCAAACCTATGTAATACTTATTACCCATGATTGATTAAATTGCCAAAGTATAGGTAAAAAGGTGTTATTCAATATCCATTCAGCCCTCAGTCAACAAAGAGAAACGGAACTTTGATGAAACTGACTAGCGCACCGATTCCATCGGGCTTTATCAAAACGAATAAGATGGCACACAAAAAGAAAGAAAAAAAAGAAGGAAACACTCACATCAACTTCATTTGTTACAGCAGTTTGTAAAATCAGCTCGACGTTTGCATAATTGTTCACATTGGAACCGCCTGGGACCATCACAGTTTTATTGGCCATTTTGATATACTCCGCATTGGCTTGCACGTCTTCCGGAGTGGCCATACACACAAACAAAAGAGCCTCGGAATTTCTGAATGTCGCGTACGCCCATTTGCGTAAAGAACGCATACATTTAACGGCAGCGATTCCATTATTAGCGATTAGAATCTAACGAGAGAATATGAAGGTGAAAACTTTGCAGTTGTATATATAAATATATATATATAAACGAACGTTAGAAATCACAACAAAATCAAATCGAAACAATTGAATATCTTCATTATTTTGGAGCGCGCGAAATACCTACACAGTTGTATCATCTGGCGATCAAATTGTCGAACTTTATTGTATATTGTTCTTGAGTGGTACTCCATTAGTAATCGATCACACGCATCGTTTTGAATAATCAATAGTTTTTTGTTAAGAAACAAATTCATTTCTATTTTATGAGCTATGGTTGCCTGCAAATCACTAAAGTCTTCTGTGTGGCTCTTAAGGACTGGCTACAAGCACGATATTCTCCTATATTCTGTTCTCGTTGGCATTCTTGAAACATCAGACTTCCTGGTTACAGGAAAACCCGACGTTTTGACGGCACTCCAGTATTCACGATTACCTACAGGGTACCACCAAACAAATGCCCGGCAATCAGAATGTGAACAATATAAATAATTCAGGAAATAGGCGATTGCCTATCACGACTCCAGAAATGGGGTTGACAAATAGTACGTCTTTGCTTGACCAACAATAGAGCAATGCATTCATGATAGAAATAAATTTACTTGCTTGAAAACAGGTTAACTAGAAGTATATTGCCTACTCAAGAATAGTTGAAGGTGAGTTTGCTAATGCCCATTTTCGTCAAAAATTATCATGAAAAGCTGATTTTTTTTCCTTTTAAAGGATTTAAATTTATAGAGGACCGCATCTTTGGAGAAGACAGTTGTATCGTTTTCCCTCAGGCAAATAAGCAGTTACATTCAGCGTGCGCAGAGGACATTGTACTGCTGACCGAATATCCAAGTTCCGTTTTCTCTATATAGCTTTGGTTAGAGTGTTAATGTTCCTAAAACGCTGAGAGGTAATTGGACTGAGTCTATTACCAATCTCTTTCTAACCGGGAGAAAGAATTCAGAATTTATATAAATCTTGCTACTTAGACCTCTACACATCCTAACGGACCATTATCAGATGAGACGTCACCAAGCGAACACAAAACTCATCCGTTATTTGCTACCTGGGAACATCTATCGATCCGAATAGGTCAGATATATGCCGTAATTGGGGGCCGGTTGGATGTACCGAGAGTGTAAGCAACTCTGATTATCACATAATGATGCGATGGACGATGCATTGTCCCATCGAATTCGAATTGGTCGGCTTCGCTGGTTAGGACACATTGCAAATGCTCAGCTATCGTCTATCACACCGCGACTCATTTGCATTTGCGGCACCAGGTTGGAAGAAAATACATGAACGTCAACAGACAGCTTAGAAATAAGGCATGGAGAGCCATTGGGCAGAACAAATGTCTCCCGTCTTCCAGGTTGCGGTCCAAAACGCTCTACGACTAGCAAGTTGGAGACACTGAAGGAGACACTGAACAACTAACCGAGAGCAATGACGTTCTTGTTATCATTTCTTATCAGATCAGAATGCTTGTGAAAGTATGTATGCACATTCAGATTGTGAACTGTCTGTTTTGACTATATAGGTTCATTTTCTTTTCCGCTCTCCAATTAGTTCCAGTCCCTCTCCATCTTGCACTTTATTATTTATTTGGCGTATATCGTGAGCTTGGAAGGGATGGGCGAAGTTCGCTTTACTCGCAACATACTCGGATTTTCACTTAGAGGTACAATGTCATCCGCATAATCCAGGTCGTTCTGTCGACTAGCACCAAACAGCTGCTATTATCATCGCGTCTTCCCGGATGGGGTCCAAAAGACTCTGCAACTGGTTGGTTGGATACACTGAAGGACATGGCAGCGAACCGACAGCAGCGGCGTTCTTGCTGACATTTCTCACCAGGTTAGAATGCTTGAACAGGTATGTAGGCACAACTGGGTTTTGCACTCTGTGTACTGACGATAGAGGTTCACTTTCTTTTCCGCCCTCCAAGTAGGCCCAATCCTTCTTCATCTTGCACTTTATCACTTAGTTTGTGGATATTGGGAGCCTGGCAGCGATTAGCACAAATCGCTTCACCGTATTTTGTTTTATCATGATGATGATAACAATAATGATATCGACATAGAATATTCTGATAACAACAGAACACATTAAAACCAATTAAGCGATTCGGAGTAACAACCGCACGAGTGAACGCGATTATACACCAAGGAACAACAGCATACATTTGGTAAAATCGGGAACTCTTCTATTTAAGACTTCGCTTTCCTGTATCTCGCTGTACAATGACAAGGAGGATCAAGCCGTCGCTCATAGCACATTGTGCGTATAGGGCAATGCTCCACAAAACAATTTAAAAATACGGCTCCTCGAGTGCTGCCTCAAATGCATTAAAGATATCATACTTAAAATACGAAATAAGATCGCACCATCACATACATCGCCCATGGGTTTAACCATATCTGACTGTAAGGCCACTTTCTGAAAGATTACTAGATATTCCAAGATCTTCATTGAACACGGCTTTGCGGGTGCAATAGATGCAGGAGGCGATGAGATTGGTGGATTTTTTCCTACTTTTCGATTCCACCGGTTAAAGGACAGAAAGGAAACAAAGATTTGGATGTGAAGATATTGAGCATCACAGATTCAGCATTATACAGCTAGGCTTTGACACTTCGTTTCTCTATCCGTTCCCGTCCGAAATCGCAGGAGGCAGAACAATGTCCTCGAGCTGTTCCGATACGTTCAGACGGACAAGTACATGAACTTGTACCAAGGAAATAACAGAATAGAAAGAAAATCTTCACCACTGAATCAGACTATATGGATTGCTAAACACTCTGAAGCGTAGGCAATTACCAAGCGGTCGGACAGCTTAATCCAGTTTCGAAATTGGCTTATTTACCAAGAAGTAACTGCGTAAAAACGGGTAATCCAAGGCGAAGGATATCTGTGCAAGCCAGTAAAAAACAAAAGGTTTGTGTACACTTCTGTTAGACTTACTCTCTGGCCTGTTCCCGCGTCTCTGCGGCAGAAAAGCAATGTCCGAATTGGGAGTCTGCAAACTCATGAATTCCCCCAGCACTCCCCACACTGAAGTAACCCCAAACAGATTGACTACTCTTGAAATTGAGCTCTTGCACGTCGCCAGGTCTAGGTTTGAACCCCTCATCTGGATCTTCACTTGTGATTCGTGCAGCGATAACGTAACAGCTGGGTGGACGACGCAAATGTTCGGCCTCATCAAATCGGATTGGGTTATCCCCCCAGGCTGGTTGACGGTATAATTCTCTAATATCTTTTATTCGATGCAGCGGAATGCCCATGGCGATCTTCAGGAAACAGAAAAATTGAAAGATGAATAAAGGATCAGACAGTGGAAGCCATTCCAAGTAGAATCATGCCCTGATTGATTCGCCATAACGCGCTACTAGTGAAGAAATAGGTAAAAATATTTCCGTAAAGATATATCACCGGTATTTATTTCTTTGTATAAATAATAAATCCGTAAGAAAATATGTCCAATATCTTTATTCTGCATGACTAAATGAGAAACACTAGAAAGACTGGTGGGAATTATGACGCGCAACACCTGAGAAAGGAAGAAATCTCGCCCACCGGACTTGTTTCATATGTACTAAACAACACCCAACGCTATTGACGCATCTTTAGAACAAATACATTTGCCTGTGTCAAACAAAAGCTCGCTGATTTTGCAAAACAAAAGTGCCCAATTTTGATTTTTGAAGTTACTGTCAACTGAATAAATTCAGATTGCGCATCTTTTGACCAGGAAAACCCCAACAAGTAACCAGTACAACGCGAGCAACCTGACTGGTTAATTTCCTTCATGATGCGTGCCTGTGAATTTCCAGGGGAGATAGTGAACCTCATTTGGTAATTCGACCAGACCAGAGAGCCTCTGTAGCTGTCGGAATTGCAATTAGGTGAATGTGCGGCGATCGACATCTCGGTCGGATATCACAGGCAAGTCTGTCATTTGTCTCTCTTGTTTTAGTGGTGGTAAACAGAACATGGCGCTTCAACAAGCGTCATCGCCAGATACATGGCTCAAACGGACTGGTTTAGGTTATGAGAAACCGGGATGAATGGAGTGCAGGCGATTAGGATGTAGTCCAATCATTGCCGTTGCACCAAAATGATGAAGCACAAAGACTGGGTCAGTTAAATAAAGTGTACATACGGGGAAGAGATCAAATGTAAAATTTGGCCCTGCTGCAGCGGTAGAGAAACGTGAACCCGAAATGAGGAGACAAGTGGGCTCTAAACAGGACGGTAGTAGAACGGATCTAAACAGCACATTGGGGATTCGGTTTATGTTACTATGGTAGGAGCAACAGTTGCGAGGGTTAATCAATCCGGATGATTTATGGTATTGTTGTTCATTTCGCCATAGAAGCACAGACTCATATACACAGGTGCTCATTTGAGGCTTTGATCAGTGCGTGTCGCTTACGGAGCCCAGTTCCTCCGCTCACTTGGGTCACGTGATTGCCCTCGCATCTACTGCAATTGCTTGGTAGTAACGGGATGTACTAATCTCACAGTGCAGGGCGTGCCTAGCCCACCGAAAGCTTGGCTAACGAGGGTTGTTGGTTCAATCTGATTAAACTTGTGGTAAGGAGGGGAGTTAGCATCCGTTGCCAGGGCAGAAATAGGGGACTGTTTGGAGATGCAGAGTGTCACTAAATTGCACCAAACTACGGCGACGAAGCTAAATTAAACATACAGGTATGAATCACACAACCAATCGAAAGCGAATGCATATGGGAATACCTGTCGTAAACGACGGCAGAATCTTTCAACTCACCGATTGGAATCGTGGAACGATATAATGCTTATTTTAAGCTCAAAGAATTACAAACCAGACCTCCTTGAAGGATACCAATATTTGTACATTTGAGCTTCTGTTCTTTGTGCTCTTAGACGGAGAGCGTGACAGATGGCATACTGGATTTCGTTCACTTTCAACTAGTTTGCAAGAATCCTTTATGATACCATAAACTTCAAAATGGAAAAGACCGACAAAAAAGCATTTTTCGTCAAACTCTGAGTTACACAAAAGAGTCGCGCTCGACAAGCCAGAATACAAAAAAGCGCGATGCCGCAGGCGACTGTTACAAATGCGCGATGTGCCCTACCCAAAGAACCATAATCTTGTGAATTCAGTGCGATAAACAATTTTCCACCAATTCCCCCCTTAATGAATGACGGATTAGCTTGTTGTTACTAATCCGCCCTGTCTAATCCACCTGTGCACCAACTACACGAACAAAGATGGACGATTCTAAACCCCTAACGGGGAATTTATGGATAGACCGATTATCTAAAAATCAGCCAAAAGCAACCGTTAGCAAAACTAATTGTCCCTTTGCTTACCTCTAATTTTCCTTTTCTCAATTAGTTTTCAGTTTTTACAACAATTTACCATGCATTTCAACATGGTGCATACTGCAGAAAATACAGTATTTATGTAGGGCTTTAGCATGCAAACAAAGTCGTGGACATAAATCGTGCAGTATTGCCATATGTTCTTTTCTCTTGAAATTAATCTCGGGAAAGGCTTGTTTCAATTTACCATGCATTTTCATACGTCGGTTTTGGTTGCCGTATTTTGGCTTCCCGTTTGAATAAAAGAGCAGGATGAAGACTGGAATCTTGACAGCAGTCAAAGAGAAGACAAAGAATGCATATAGACTGGGTGTCCAAGGATATTGATATAAATGCACGAACAACGCTGTTTACAACAGTCAACCATATCACTTAGTGTCTCTAACTACCGGTTCCGTGATCTCGGGGTACCAATCCACGAAGCCTAACTGTACCTATATGACCCAGTGTCCTAGTTAGACTTTTCATACCCTCATGCCATGTATTAGTATGACCGTCTTTAACATTTTTCCACTCGCTACCTGTCTCGGCAAAAATCGCGTGCCGTGGAAACCTACTCGGTGATATGCGCAACACATGCCACCAACCAACGGGATCTATGAAGGTCGATCGCTTACTTTAGTGGGCGATCGCGATTACCCAAAACACTTCACCTAACCTCAGAATTGCTTCTCCGGTTTTCCTCCACCAGACTCGTGCAACGGGGCATCGACAGTGGTGTTCGAACACAGAAAAATTGCTTTTATCCTGTTCCCGTACTGGCGAAGTCCCTGCACTGTATAGCGGGACTGGTCTAACTGTTGCATTATATTCTCGACCTGTCACGGACAGTCAGCTGTCTCGGCGGAGCCACAGATGTCTCAAGCTGGCATGTGCTAATCAAGCCTTCTGTATGCGTGTCAAAACTTCATCTGTGATGCGTCAGCGAGATGAGGTAAAGCTGTCTAAATAGATCGGAGTATGCAACAATCATTAGGAGTTTAGATATGATAATATTTACCAGCATAATTCATCACGAACGCATATACTCCACCCGTCACATTTAGCATTTCCCGACATATGCCCTTTGGCGATAACTAAAAAAGCACGTAGTAACTCACATCACGATCAGACGCGCGGTGAACTACACTGTTTTAACCATACAAAAACACTATTGCACAACAGATCTTGAACCCGATCAGCCTTCAGGCATAACCCCCATCTGGTGAAATTCATCTTCATAACTCCGTATCGGACGGAAAATATTAAATCGAACTGAAAACCCCAGGAATGTGAATGCAAGGACATGCAACGAGCAGTATTCATCATCGTCTGTCAGAAAGCGGTGTTAGTTATGGTTGGAATCACGTGGTATGTAAAGAAACAAGGATTTGTAACACGTGTCAAAAGCTAAAAATGTGTTTGGTAACCATGATTAGCACTCAACAATTCCACAGGAAACTTTATCTATTTGTCAATTGACCCTTGAAAACCTAAAGATCAGGAGACGCCCACTGTTCTTGTGTGCTTTGTATGCGTATTCTTTCTTTGTGCACGCTCATAATATTTATCTTTTTATCTTTTCGACTTAGTTCGCAGATCAATGGTGAACGAGAGAACAGCGATTCGATTAACATATCTGTGCATAAGCCATTTAACAATTGTGAATGACAAAAGACCGAACAGCCACTCCAAAGATGGGTATTCCAAGTAAGAAGACTCTTAACCAATAAACCGAACTACGCTCTTTTGTGGGATCGCGTGATATGCGTGAAAACCAGTACACAACCTTCATCCGTGGGGATATCATCGGATCTATAAGTTTTGCATAGCCGACTATCTTCCCAGTCCTGTTCACCTTCAGTTTTTGATGTTATCACAATCAACTTTTGGTTTTCCATGCAAAAAATAAACAAAGCATTATGACGTGATGATAAGACCAATTTAAATAAAAACTTTCCAGTAATGAAATGGTGCAGCCAATCATTATTCTGACTTAACAGTGCTATTATTAGGGTTGTTATCTGTGCCAATTCACGACAAATTGTGCGTTCTTATATTTTTCCTTAAGAAAAATCACCGCTCTCATTGATTTTGCATCTACACTCTCATTAATAAACGCCTGATTTCGATCTGTGGCTAATCTAAACAAGATATTGAGTGAGAAAAGTATTTACTGCATGAACCGACAGCTTCCATCAATTTAATACTGCACAGCGATTTATCACCATAGTGTGTTTGAGAGACATTGGTTTCCGTACGGAATAACCCCAATGCCTCCCGGACATTTCACAATCTTTGCGCACGCTTCTTATCTAAAACAGCACTTTCAAGATAGGAAGACAATATCCATGAGTGTCACTGTATGTTGGACCATCTGAATGATATATCACGAAAACGATACCCAGATCAAGGTATAGTCGTGTTTGTGTGTGATAGAAATCAATATTTAACCAAACATTTTGTTCGGTGGTCACGCTCGCCCATGCGTCCGCTAACCCACCTACCCACATGCTTATCAACAACTCCCCAGTCCACAACGACATACAACGTGGAGCCTAATGCGTACACTTTAACCAATTGGGCACGTATCACCCGATTTTTGCGCGTGAAAGCACGCGAAACGTACAACGGAGTATGCGGGACGGAGAGTCATATATCATTACACACACCACAGTTGTCCTGTTTAGAAAACATGGGGGAAAGAAAGTTATTCTGTGATTCCTGTGTGAAGTGGAATGACGACACAGAAAAGATATCACCAGCAGACTGAGTATCGCATTCCGAATAAGCAATAAGAAACCAACATTCGAGGTTCATTGTCCTTCATGAGTTTTGAAACTGCGATCTCATGTCGAGCATGGCAGATTGCCTCGGAACAAGAAATAAAGTGGACAAAACCCTCCACTTTACTGATTACCGCATCCGGTACGCTTTCCCAATGCAAATGAATTGCTGACAAAACTGAACCGGAAGAGTGAACCAAATGCTTAAGAGTCAGATAGCACAAAGCAGTGCGTGAAAGAAAGTGTGATAAATTAGAGGTTGACTTGCTAGAAGTCCGGTCATTAGAAAATATGGGGAACAATCACCTTAACCTTGCATGATTTCATGCACATCTGGTTTGGGATCCTTTGTTGACATCCAAATTAAAGCACAAGATTTCATGAAAATATTTGGTGAACATGAAAAACTACTGTTGGGGGTTAATTAGAACCGGCAGCAAACAACAATGATCCAGTAGTACAGTGTGTCACAAATACTGATTCGTAGTACATTTACTTACTTGAAGCTGACATGCGGGTAAATTGACTTCAGCCACGACTTCAGTGCACGGATGTTCCACTTGCAGACGTGGATTGAGTTCGAGAAAGAAGAATTGGTCAGTGCATGGATCATATAGATACTCCACTGTTCCGGCGCTCACATACCCGACCAGTTTGGCGAGCCTCACTGCTGCCTGATATGAAACAAAAAACGAATAAATGATGGTTATCATGAGGGAAACGGTAGAAACGGAACTAATAAAAGGACAAAACAAAATGCATATTTTTTGACATTACGACATTGAAATTCTAAGCATTTATCGCTCCAGAGAGCAGGTCAAACGCATGTAATCAGCAGATTATGTCATCGAGAGTTTGGCGGAAGAGGAAGACTTTGGTGGTAGGCAGCTCTGCTGTCGTCCGGTTCAATACCACACCTAACCTATCGGGGACTTGTGTGGTTCGCCACTCCAAGTCCCGTGGCTTGGGTTGGCGGTTTCCATTATTGAATAGTAGGTCCCCGTGACTATCGGGTTCAGGCCGTCTGTTGTTCATCACACTTGGGTGTGTAATAAGAAAGTGAACAACTCGTAATAATGCGCAGTAACCTTGAGTTTGCCGATAGACAAAAATGTATGAACTTACAAGGTTGTTTGAAATTAAAAGAGCAACTCAACCTTTTTGAAACAACGGGGATACGAGCGTGGCAGGAGAGGTTAAATTTACACAGCATACGGCTCATCACTCAGAGTAAGAAAACTGCTCTGGTGAAAACTCAGTCCCTCGGGACAAAATTGAAATATCAAGTGTGCACTACTACCAGGATATTCAATTATAAGCTGGTATTTTGAAAATTATTTATAACAAAATACGATTGGAGGCAAGCATTGTTTTGAACTGCTCACTGCTCACAAGTAAATAAGAGTCAAATCGGAGTGTAGTTAGCTTAAGATGTGGCCGTTACAATTCACGTGGTGCTTCTGAAGATAGCCATCTTAATTTAGGAGAAATATCGATGAACATGGTGTCAGCGCAAACATGTCGACAATTGTTTGGTTTAGTTCATCCCGGTGATCGAGTGCATGTGCACCACACAAGTTGACCTTGAGTGTATCAATTGTGGTGCCATCCGCAAACACATGAATTATGATGAGGGTCATCAATAAAAGTTAGATGGGCCATCGACGCAATGCAGAATGCATACAAACAGGTGTATAAAACTACATGTACAAACGAACTGCATGCGTATCTTTGGCCCCATTCCTGTCAAGTGACTTTTAAGATTGTCCGTATTGTGCAAGTAATCATATAAAACGCCATTTGCCTCAGTGTTCGTAGCCCGGAAACAATAAGAAATTGCAACAACGGCGGGACCACATGAGTTCGCGTGGCGGTAGAGACACTGTCAGATTTGTGAGCCGGAAACATCATACCATTTCTCTGAAAAAAACACGCCATGGGTGATGCAGGAAACAACCTCTCGCTCCAAGTATCGAGTACTTAATGTTCATTTTCAGGTCTATTTCTAAGGAAAATTGCTGCGATTGAGATTGTAGAAAACGGCTATCAACTCGGAAATCTAGAAAACGGATCGCAAAAGACAAAAAGCTGATTTTACGTCTCTCGGCAAAGTAGTGGTTTTCGCAACACACAACATCGACATAACACGAAAAGCGCAAAGTGATTTTTAGACCTCCCCAACTAGTTGCTTTAAGTATTCCGCAATGCTATTCGAAACAGGGAAAGGAATCACAAAGTTGTTTTTATGAGGGAATGCAGACAACGATCGACCGTAGTAAATAGTGGCTAAACAACCGGACACCGTGAATACTGCGAGATGGTTAAAAACAGTGAGTGATATGGCTGTGTCCTAAACAGTGGCGTTCGTGCATCCCAATTTCTTTGCTGCCTTAATTCAGTGAAATTATCCATTTGCTCTTCGATTCTAATTTCAGCTTTGTTGTCTTTCTTCTATTGCTTCATTCAAATGGGCGCAACCAAAACCGGTGTATGAAAGTGCACGGTTAATGGTTGTACAAACTGAAACTGAAAGTGTACAAATGCTGAAACTTCATCTGTGACGCGTCCACCAGGTGCGATATAGCTACCCAAATAGCAAAATCTGTCCAATCCCTCGATCACAGTAACTGTTACTGTAACAGTTACTGCATTGAGAATGTCACCTCGATTGGTGATGAAACGTTTGCAATGCAATTGCCAAGCTCGGCGAACAACTGAACATCATATTATACCACCCGAGCTACAAAAACAACAATCAACATCGTTGTTTACCAAACTGTCAGAACATATATTGTTTAGGATGAATTTAACAAGGTTGACCCCAATTTCTTTACATCCTTTGAGATGCTTAACACAGTTGTCTTCCCACTAGACTGGATGATTTTTAAACAGACCAAACAGTTTCCCGACAACACGTCATCGCAGTCGCGGATTCTTCTATCTCTCATAATTTGTGACTAGAACAGACATGAGCGGTTTAAACAGAGCCGACATCGTGGGCCGCGAAGTAGGCAATACTCAGTCGATAACTTGGATATGCTCCGTGAAGTTAGTGCTGATGGTGGTGTTTGGGTGGTAAGGTAGTCAACATAGCCACACGGAAGTCCTGAGTTCGAACACCACCATCTCATTTCTCGAATTTCCCCAGACGGACTTAGTATGACCGCAGTCCTCTACTGAAAGTTTACTGCACACTTCTATGATTAATAAACAAAAAAAGCGAAGTAAAAAAACAACACGTTGTCACGTACCGATCTATCCAGCTCCAATGGTAACTTGACTTGTAAATTTAGTTTCTACGCTTTACATCACCACGCATTAACTAACTTCCCCATGAAAAGCAAAGCGGCTAAACAGCGAGAAGCGTACCCTGCGGTAAAGGAGTTCTGTAAAACCATTAACACCATAACACGGGCCTAGTAGCATTTTCGCTTATCCACCCCCTGCCGGTCACATCTGCCGCGACATATGGAATTCAATTAGGCTCACCGGTGGCCAGAAATCGAGCGTCCGGGCATCTAACGTACGCGCCGAAGAGATAAGTCACAACTTTGATAATGCCAACAGCTTAAATCATCATCATCATATCACCTCAGTTGACTCCACACAAGGTTCGTATCGCATGGATATACGAGTTAATACACCTAAATAGTGTAGCACTACTTAAGGAATGCGTCAACTATCTCCAATTTTATCATAAGGTCCTTTGTATTTTTCCAATAAGCATGTTCTTCAATGCTAACGGGTAGCCTCCATCAAAAATATATCTAAGAAAATGACTACTATATTCAACTTTTAATTCAATTATTTATTATTAATTATTTAACTGCTATTGAAATGGATAAAGGGAACTGAATGCTTCAAATTCCTTTAGGTCTTTGAAAAATTTTTAAATATGAGCTCTTTCCGGGCACATGTTAACGACCAAAATTAGTTCGCCTATCACCATTCCTGTTTTATCCCTGATGACATCGTTCTACTCTATTATTCCACCCCCTCTGCTCCGAACAGAAAAGTCGAATTCGATTAGCAGATAGCAGACTTAAATTACTTACTCCATTGGCGGAATGTAGAATTCAATAATGAACCAGTGAGTTATTTACAACTAACCAACTAATCCTGAACAGTGAATTCGACATCATCGTCGGATGCCCCTCCCTCTTTTCAATACCTCACAATCAAGTCGCTGTCTTATGACCTTGTTTTCCCTCACGTGTTCTCCAAACCTGTGAGATTTTTAATCGTAAAATATATAGACTATATTGTTTCTGATACCTGTTATCGTTACCAGTCCATCAATTTTTGAATAACTTGATGTACCATTTAACCGCAAGCTCACCTAGAGGGGTCACAACATTAGTTCTCACGCAAAACCTTTTCGACAAAATTCGTGAGTCATTTTGCATTACGGCTGGTGATTTTAATCGTTTCGATGTTTCTTTCCTAAGAATTTTAGGTGTGATTAATCTGGTATACTTTCCCACTCGTTTGAAGGCCCAACTTGACAGCATTTTTAGAAATATTCCAGAGTTCTCCATGGAAAAACGAGCCTCTATTAGCACGTTCGACTATTGTACATATCGTTTGCACTCTAAAATCCATGGTAAAATTTATTATCGTCAACAAGCACAGATAGCATCCCGGACAATACGAAGGAGGAATTGTACCCCAGATAACCTAACTAGATTTCAAGATGTGATCTCTTCAATTGATTTTACTGTTTTCTCCACCTCCGATAATTCTTTCAGATGCGAACATCTCACCGGCTATCTTAATTTCTGTTTCTTTTTGAGTGCCGCATCAAGGCACAAAGTCAGCGCTTGAATCGGATGTATACCGAGACCATTCTGGGCAACCAGAGCTGTCGCGAGATGCGGTTGGCGTTGAAGGAACGCTGTGACATGTGCGGGAGCTACTATCCTGACGCAGAAGAACTAAATTGACAATTTGCGGGCCTCCTCTGGATCCCATTCTCCACCGTCCGCTTTTGATTCCCTGAAAACACCATAGCTGTTTCTCTGACTGAGGTTCTCACAGTTTTAAAGCAACTTAAGTCTAACAAGGCCCACAGACCGGACTCCTCAGCCCCCATTATATTGACAACCTGTACCGAACAATTAGCAACACTCATTGATTGTCAAGTTGTTCAATTTGCGTGTGGCCTCTGGAACAATCCTGGATTCCAAGAGGAATGTCTGGATAATTCCCATTCCCAGGAAAGGTTCTTCAAAGGATCGACCGATTACCTGTACCTCAGTCCTATTGAAAATCTTTGGAAGAGTACTGTTGAACCGGTTGACTGCCGTCTGATGTTCTCGATCCTCTTTAATTTGCTTATGAACAATGCAATTTTCAAATTTGTGACCGCATGCATCCTCCTGCATTGGCTGTACTGCTCCCTGTAGTTTTTTCCCAGGGTGGAAGAGAAATCTTTGATATTAAACTGCAGATCCATAAAACACGTTTCCCGATGTAGTGGAGTAACCAGAAATATACTACTAGATTTTATTGCGCGAAAGCATGTCAACGCATGTGAAATAATGGCCGATAGAACCGTGAGCAGCGAAGATAACTGTTTGTATAACGAACGATTGTCAAAGCCGAGTACCCGCTCCCATTATAAGCTCCTTCCTGCACGTTCCGTCACACACAAAATCAGCGTCCTTCCGTTTCTCACCGACTCTTCAGTGAACCAGGTACCAATTATAACAGGCCTGATGGAACATCTCATGAGTTAGTTTCTTTATTCATTTTTTAAACTATCACTATCGTCTTCTTGCTTGCAGCGCGCTGTCCTTTTTGTTGACCCTATTCACACTCTTTTGCGCCCCCCCCCCCCNCAACCTACACACCAAAGAATACAGGCTCGTTTTCAGATTCCTAATATTACCCGTGAGCAACCCACCATATATATTATTCCCGATGTATGACAGAAATTTTCTATGAGAATATTAACGGAACACATTCCCTCACCACCACGACCTTAGCACATGTATCCCCAACAATTCCATTAAATTTATTAAAAAATCAACCAATTAAAAGCTTATCACTCTACTGTTACACAATACTTAAACCGACTCTTAACAACTCAGAAGCAATTAAAAAACGAACTGATAACTGCATGCATTGGCTAAGATTCCATTTGATTTGGCTTTCAACCTTTCTCATTTGTTCGTAGTAGAACGAACACGTAGCAGCTGCATATTAAACCTTTGGGTGCATGAAGCATTTACTGGACTAGTTTTCATATTCCTGTTGGTAGCTTTAACACCAGACACGGATTTACTTCCCGGTTCACCAAATCTGCAGGCCTATGCGCAAGCTAGGTGTCAGAGTATGCTTTAAATTCTTATTGGCGGCCGGATGCGGGGTTTTGGCGTCAAGTAAGCCTCAAGTTTTGCCACAGAGTGGGTAAAAAAACCAACACTTTGAGTTTCTAGTTTTGTTAGTCATGAAATGGGTGCTCAGCTTTGGCACTTATAGCAATCTCAACATCAGAAACATCGCGAGATTAGGATGTCGAATCGCCTGACACACGGAGGGTGAAGTGTGAGGTTGGATCAAATGGGTGCCTAAGACTTTAGAGCAGGACATACTTTGCGGCAGCCACATCGACGAAGGGGTTTTTCTTTGGGAACCCTAACCGGAGTCTTTGACTCAAAAGTCTGACCCACAAGGCAGTGGGTCAGACTTTTGAGTCA